CGGCAATAGCTAGGTGGGGTCGCTTGGGGAAGGAGGGTCCCACCAGAACCCCCTGACTGCTCCACACTGTTCCAGGTATCAGTGGGGAGAGAGAGGAGACCTCAGACCAGCACGGACTTCCTGAGGCAAGCTGAGGTAAGTGCTGAGATTCACATATTCATTCAACTACCACTCATTGAATGACCACTTAGGCGCCTGGTGCTGAGAGCTCCCTTCACACCTGCACAGCCCTGTGAGTTGGGGGTTGTTCAGATGCCCCGTTTATAGCTGAGGAGACTGAGGTCCAGGATGTGGAAGGCACACAGCCAGGAAGTGATGGAGTCGGTAGTTAAACCCAGGAGTTATGCTCCAGAGTCTTCACTGCCCTGGGGTAAGCCAATAAGTGTTTGCTGTATGGGTAAGTTCTGTCTTGGGTCTAACCCAGCACTTTCATGATGCTCTGGAAAAATAGATCCTCAAATTTAGGGCTGAAAACAGCACAAACACCACCTTCCTAAACAAAAGGACATTGAAGGAGTCTAGGGGAGCCTGGGAAAGGGACCTAGAAGGGAGACCAAGGGCTCTGCCTAGATATGGGGAGGAAAAGCTTCTAGGAGGAGGAGATATTAGAGCTGGGGTTTTGAAGTTTGAATAAGAGTTTGCCAGAGAGAAGCTTAATGAATTTACTTTATTCATAAATTTATTCATTCAAACACTCCCTGCTTCCCCCACACGTCTGCCTCATGCTGGCTGATGCCAGGACCCCCAGTCTTGGGAAGGCAAAGCCAGACACAGACATGTGTCTGGGACCAGGACTGAGCCAGAGCAGGAGACAGGGCTAAAGGTACCAAACAGGGAACCAGTATTCTTCCTGTGGAGTCAAAGAGAGCTTCCTAGAAAATGGATTGTTTGAGATGAATTTTAAAGGAGGAGTAGGAGCTCGCCAAACAAGGTAGCTTTGTTTGATACATGTTGGGCCTGAGGGATCTGTAAGGAGCAAGGGACCATGCTCAGGCCAAAAGATCATTAAAAATACAGTAAATCCTTGATTTTGCGGACCTCTATTTAATGGACTTCGGATTTAATCGACAAAATTTCCAGTCTGTATGTCATATATGAAAATTAACACCCTGTTAATTTTAAAATGCTTTTAACCAAGATTTGCTCATAATTAAATTAACAGGTTATTTTTTTTATTAATTTACTGTTATTTTTAACAAATTTTAGTGAATAGGCCATATGTTGGAAAAAACACTGTAGTAATTTCGCTGACATAAATAAATATTACGTATCTACAACTATAGTCTACATATTTAAATCCAAGAGTCACTGCTAGCAAACAGCGGTCCGGGAATGACTAGCACGTGATCGCACAGCATGTCGCAGTAATTGGTTCTGCTGTGCGCCATGTGACTTGATGTTCTTATATGTGAATTTGTTTACTCCCAGGGACTGGTGAATGCACGCATTTACTAAACCTATTCAGTATAAATTTAAAATTACTGTAATACATATATAAAACTTTTCTGTGAAGTTAAACTTTTCATACATACTTAATTTTAATTAAACAAACATGTCTACATAAGTAAAAACAGGTAAACTAACTAATTTGTCAATTTTTCAACATACGCATTCGGAAAAACTACTTTCTTATATAACAGACTTTCGGCCTTCATGGATACCCCCTCACTAGAATTAGTCCGTTAATCAAGGTTTTACTGTAGTCGAGGAGAATGGGCGATGGTCGCATCAGAATCCCAGAGCTCAGCGCTCCCTAGAGGGGCAGGTGACAGGGAAGCAGGAAGGATCCCAGCAGCTCTCAGCTGGTAAAAAGGGAGCTTTCTCTCCCTCTGGGAGGCTCCTGGGCCATCTCTGAGGCCAGGACAAAGGACCAGGTTGGAAATGGAGGGGCGGATTCTGGGCACACTGAGTCTCGGGGGCTCTGTCAGCATTCCTGTGTCTCAGTTTTCTTTGTAAATATGGAATCCCTAGCAGGGCCTGGGCAACTGTCAGAGTCAACCTGGGTTGGGGTGCCAGAGGAGATGAGGTATAGGGGGACTAGGTGGGGGAAAATTTCAATAGTTTACTAACCTGAGCAACTGTACATTGCAGCCAAGTGTTGGGGTCCACAGGTGGCTCAGCAAAAGTGTTTGGCCCATCCGGATCTTCAGTGAGTGTTCTCCCCAGGTGCGTCCCCTTGGACCAATCCCAAATCCGGAGACCACGATGAAGTGTTTCCGGCCCTTGAAGACAGAAGTGGTCCTGACTGTGGTCCTCTGCACCTTCACTCTCCTCTTCCTCCTCTTCAGTCTGCACATGTCACCACTTTCCTGTGGGGACCTGAAAGAGCCGCTGGGCACCCCCAGGGCTCTGACCTGGGGACCTCCGCCCACCTTTCCCCTGCCCGCCCCCTGCCAGGCCAACTTTTCTGTGGCCAAGCTGCCGGACTTCGCCCAGCAGCCACAGCACGTGCGTGACTTCCTGCTGCACAAGCACTGCCGCGACTTCCAGCTGCTGCAGGACGCTCCGCTGAGCAAGTGCGCGCAGCCAGTCTTCCTGCTGCTGGTCATCAAGTCGTCGCCCAGCAATTACGAGCGCCGGGAGCTGGTGCGGCGCACTTGGGGCCGCGAGCGGATGGTGCAGGGCCTCCGGTTGCGCCTTCTCTTCCTGGTGGGCACGGTCCCAGAACCGAACGAGGCTCGCAAGGTCAACCAGCTGCTGGCGCTGGAGGCCAGGGTTTATGGTGACATCCTGCAGTGGGACTTCCACGACTCCTTCTTCAACCTCACGCTCAAGCAGGTAGGCTGGCGGGAAGTCACCTGATCAGGCCACCTGTCCTTCCTTCCCAGTTCACCACCATCTCCTCTCAGGGGCCCAAGGGGACCAGCAGACCCCTACCCCCACCTTACCCCCTCTACTGTCTTCATGGCATCTGAAGTTCATTTCCTCGAGGGGAGGCAGGGAGAAGGTGCAGGCTGGCCAGAGACCACAAGCCTGGCTATAGAGGCCTGATGACCCAGGTTGAAATTCAGGCTCCGTGCTGCCCTTAATGATGGTTCACCTCTCTGTGCCTCAGTTTCCTCATCAGGGAAATTGGGATATTAATTGGACTCACCCACCTCTGAGGGCTGCTGTAAGGATTACATCAGCCCTGATATTAGCCCTGAGATAATAGGCACCTGGACCAGTGCCAGGCTCTCAAATAATATTGGCAATGGGGTGGGGGGAGGCAGGTACTGAACAGAACACATCTCGTTTATTTGGTTTGGTTCTGTCTCCCCAGGAGGCCCAGTCTGTGCAGTGGGTACTCAATAAAGACTTTTTTTCTCATCCAAGGATATTTTTTCCATTGCTTTTCAGAGAGAGTGGAAGGGAGAGAGAGAAACATCGATGTGAAAGAGACACATCGATTGATTGCCTCCCGCACATGCCCCAACCGGGGCCAGGGATTGAGCCTGCAACCAAGGTACGTGCCCTTGGCCAGAATCGAACCTGGGACCCTTCAGTCCCCAGGCCAATGCTCTAACCACTGAGTCAAACTGGCCAGGGCAAGACTTACTTTTTTTTTTT